AACAGGGGAGGCAAGGGGCAGGACGCGAGGGCATTAAGTAGGTGTTTTGTATCCTACATACTAGGGCGCTCTCCTAATTATATACACAGGTTTACTGATAAAAGTTTATTAGGGAAATCTATGCTGAGATACCCCCTAACTATTTTAAATGCATATTCACCACAACATATAATTCCTCTGGTGAGATATTGCGCATGCGTTAACACACTAACGTAGCCAGATTGTGTACTGGCTGGTATACGCAGCCGGGACCTTACATGCAAGGTCTTCCTCCTATTTCTTAAATAATGTCTACTGATGAAATGTTATCATATAAATCTATGCTAGGATAACTCCTCTTAATTTTAAATGCATAATCTTTGCAAAATACGATTTCTCTCGGGTGATACTGCGCATGCGCGCGCAACGTGTTAGGCATGCAGTGCCGTCTGAGGCAAACTTCATAATATAGCTGGCTGAGGGGGAGAGGGGATGGGAGACTGAGGAAATGCGGCAGGGAAGATAGCAGGGGGCGGTAGAAGAAGAAGCAGGCTGAACGAAGAACAGGGGAGGCAAGGGGCAAGACGCGAGGGCATAAAGTAGATGTTTTGTACCCTATATGCTAGGGCGCTCTCCTAAATATAAACACAGGTCCACTGATAAAAGTTTATTAGGGAAATAATTGGTGAGATACCCCCTAACCATTTTAAATGCATATTCATCACAAAATATAACTCCTCTGGTGAGATATTGCGCATGCGCTAACACACTAACGTAGCTAGATTGTGTAATAGTTCGTATATGCTGCAGGGACCTTACATGCAATGTACGTATTTCTCCTATTTCTTAACTAATGTCTACTGATAGAATGTTATCATATAAATCGATGCTAGGATAACTCCTCTTCATTTTAAATGCATAATCTTCGCAAAATATTGTTTTTCTCGGGAGATATTGCGCATGCGCGAGCACAGTTTCAGGCGTGCAATACGGACTGAAGAAAACTTCATAATATAGCTTGCTGAGGGAGAGAGGGGTGGGACACTGAGGAAAGGCGGCAGGAAAGATAGCTGGGGGAGGTAGAAGGAGGCTGAGCGAGGGACAGGGGAGGCAAAGGGAAGGACGCGAGGGCATAAAGTATGTGTTTTGTACCCTACAGGCTAGGGTGCTCTCCTAATTATAAACACAGGTCTACTGGCAAAAATTTATTAGAGAAAACTGTGCTGAGATACCCCCTGTACTGACCATATTAGATGCATGTCTACACTTCATTATTATCCACGTAAATATTTGAAAATCATAACGTAAGCAATTTTTAAATGTCATACTACCAGGAGTAAGATAATATAGGTATATAATCCTATATTATCTTACTCCTGATACTACTGATACAGAAGCTTGTAAACTTGTAGAGACACACAATACTAAATAAACCACTTTATCTAAAACAAACGATCTTTATTTCTAACATCACACAGCAAACATGATACAGAGAAAATCCCAAAAGACCACTCTCTGCATCTCATTACTAGTCTGGAAGCAAAGTGACCCTGAAATTGCATCAGGAATTGATCTAGAAACAAGACTAGACTAACTAGCTTCCAGATTTGATATAATCGTAAACTTCCCATTTTCCAATATCAGTAGAATCTGTAGAGTGCACGTCAATACTTTATTAAAAAGCAGGAACTAGATAACATATCCTACGAATTTACTAAAACCAAATAATAATCGGTATTTTT